CTGTCGTCGCATCCCCGAGGGGGAGCCCAGTGCACCCCCATGGTTGTGCATTCCCCCCCACCGCGCAGCCTGTGCCTTCCACCAGCCACACGGTTGAACCTCCGTGATCGCACACCCCAGTGGGCGCTTTGCCATCCGCTGCCCCTGCACCCCCGGGGGGGGCTGTTGTACTCCCGTGCACCCCGGTGCGCCCCCCTCCCCCCCCCATGCACGCCAAGGCTGCACCCTGCCCTGTGCAACCCGGGGAGCACCCCTTGCGAGATGCCCTGTTCACTCTGGCAGGTATCCGGGTCCCCCCTGCACCCCTGGGGGGGGCCCTGGCAGCCCCTGCCCCCAGATGGACACATCCCGGTGCCCCCTGCCCGTGCACCCCTAAGGTACTCAGCGCCTCACGCACCTCTGTGGGTGCCCCTCACACCCCGTGCCCTCCACTCCATGCGTCCCCCCAGGCGACCCCCAGGCAAACTTACCGAGCACCCCAACAAGGTCCCCGGGTGCACCCTGTCCCATGCGACGGGTGCCCCTTGCACCCCCGGCCCCCTTCACCCCAACAGGTACCTGGGTGCCCCTCACACGCACTGCTCGCTGCGTCCCAGTGGGTACCCTGTCCCAAGCACCCTGATGGGCCCCCCACCCTGGACACCCCGATGAGCACCTCTTGTGTGTCCGGCCCAGGTGTGTCGCAACAGGCACCTCCCGCCCAAACCCCCTGTGCCCCCCCCCAGGCACCGCCATTCACCCTTCCCCTGGGTCCTCGCTGGGGTCCCCTCCCTGGGGGTGGCTATGATGGCTGGGTGCAGAGCACCCCTGGGTGCCGCGGTGCTGTGGGGACATGCCTGTCCCCGCTGCGGGCCACAGCCCACCCTGGTGGCCTTCAGCTGCCCCTGGTTCTCTGTGTACATGTGGGGTGTCATCCCCGTGCCCCATCCCACCTCGGGGACCCCGGTGCAGCAGTGGTCACTGTGCCAGGGAGAGGGTGCACAGTGGGTGCCCATTAGGGCACACAGTCCAGTGTACATGGGGGGAGCTGTGCAGGGGACCCCCAGGGTGCACACAGGTGCCACCCACACCGCGTGGGACACTGGCGCTGGCACAACCGGCGTGCAGCCCAGAGCTCTTAATTAACAGCCATGACAGGGTCATCAGCCAGGTCCCTGCTGCCCGTGGCCCTGGCACCCGTGTGGGAACAGCATGCATTGGGGTGCTGCGGGGGCCCAGGAGCAGCCACGGTGTCACCGGGCCAGGGGGTCTGCGGCCCCAGGCCAGGGCGAGGGAGGCGAGGGGGAGGTTTGGGGTGGCCCCGCTGCTCCCAGCAGCCCCAGGGGAGCGCAGGGGCTCTGCCCGGCTCACGGCGGGCTTGGATGTGACGTTAAAATATTACAACCACCAGCAATGCTGCACTTCGCTGAATTATTCCTTTTTAATGCCTGTTACAAACCTCCGGTGTCACCACATGGCAACAGCAACCAGTGGCACCCGGTTCCCCCAAACCCCTGTGGGAAGGAGCCACTGCCCCAGCATGGGGACACCCCAGCACCACCCCACATCCCCCACCCCCCCAGCAAACACAACTACCACGCTCAGGGCAAATCCTCTCCAGGGGCAGCTCCATGGCTGCAGAAGCCACCCCCTGGGAGAAGGTTTTGGCAGCAGGTTCACGTCCCCGGTGCTGCCGCCGCCAGCCCCCAGCACCGCCCCAATAGGTGACATCCAGAGCACGGTGGCTCCGCAGCCCCCGTGCACGGTGCTCCCTGCCAGACATCCCTTTTGCCCCTGAGCCACGTGAACCCACAGCAAACCCCACAGCACAACTCAGCTGGTGCTGCCGCAGGAGACGGTGTCCAGGCCAGTCCGGTGACGGCCCCGATGAGCGCCGGTCCCCATCATGGGCACGAGTGAGTCCAGGCATGTGCTGGCCACTCCACTCACTGCTTGGGAGGGGTGTCCCTGATGAGGGCTCGCCCGGTGCCAGCTGACACCATGTGCACTGCATCCTCCAGCTCGTAGAAGGCCTGGAAGAGGTCCGGCGAGGTAGCCCGGCACTCCAGGTACCGCCGCAGCGTGGCCAGGCTGCCCCAGACCTCTCGCTCCGAGGGGCAGGGCTGCACCGCCGCCAGCTCTCCCCCATCCTTGCCCTCCGCCGTCCCCTTGTCCCCATCCACCTCCGCTGACTCCCCGTCGCGCTCCAGCTCCTCGTCCGTCATCATGCGGCGCTCCAGCTGCTCCTGACTGAGTGGGCCGGGCGCCGGGGCGAGGGCCGGGGCCTCGGTGCCAGCATCGGGGCTGAAGCCAGTGGCACGGAAGCAGCTGGCGATGAGCCCCGGGTGCACGTCGCCCCAGGCTTGCGCCAGCATGTGCAGGGCATCCAGGAGGGTCGGCTGCCCCGTGCCACGCTCCGCCAGCAGCCACCTCAGCAACCGGCGCCGGTAGTGGCCCTTGAGGTCGCTGGTGATGCCGCGGTCCAGGGGCTGGGCCAGGGCGGCAGCCGGCGGGATGAAGACCATCCTGACGTTGGAAAGCTGGAGGTAGGGGTGCGCCTCGTGCTTGGTGAGGAGGAGGAGGATGCTCTTCCCCTGCCGCCACATCCCCTCGTTGAACTCCCGCAGCCACTCGGCAAAGAGGGGGGCGGTCATGCCAGCCAGGCTGCTGGCGCGGTAGCTCCAGGGCATCTGCCCCAGGTTGACGCCCCGCAGGCAGGGGGGCCGGGAGATCTCCCCCACCACCCGCAGCGGGGCCTTCTCCGAGCCGTCGGCGTTGGTGCAGAGCAGGAGCGTCAGCCGGTCACCGGCGCTCTCGCCCTTGCCGGGGGAGCTGGCTGGGAGGAGGACCCCCATCTCCCCACAGGCATAGATCTTGGAGAGCGCATAGCTGCGGAGGAGGTTGGGTAGCAATGCGCCGGCCCAGTGGTCGGCCGTGGGCTGCTCCGCATCCCCTTTCTCCACTGGCGGCTTCTTGAAGGAGAGGTTGTGGCGTGCCTCGAAACGAGCCAGCCAGCCGCCGCCGGGCTCCGGGTCAGGGCGGCCCAGCGCCTCGGCGAGGTGTTTGGCCTTGAGCTGGAGGAGTGGGCTGCTGACGGGCAGGTCGGTGGCACGGGCGCCCTCCACCCAGCGCAGCAGGGCGGCCTCGAGGGCCACGTCCTTCCCCTCCCGCTTGCGTTTGCGTTCGGGGTCGCCATTGCGGTGCCACTCGCTCAGGATCCGCTCCTTGTTCTTGATGATGCGGCAGATCTGGGGCTGCGACACCCCGAAGCGCTTGGCCAGCTCGCTCTGAGACACCTTGGGGCCCTCCAGCATCTCCAGCACCTGCACCTTCTCTGTCAGTGACAGCTCCTTCCGCTCCTTCCGCGGTGTTGCCGTTCCCCCCTCTGCCATCCCCGGGGAGCGGCCGGTGCAGGGGGCTGGGCGGCAGGGGCTGCCTGCAGCCCCCAGCCCCACCGGCTCGGCAAAGCCTCTCCCGCAGTGGTTGCAGGTGTAGGTGCGCTCCCCGCCGTGCGCCAGCCGGTGCCGCACCAGGTCCGGCTTTTGCCCGAAGCCCCGGCCACATTTGGGGCATTCAAGCGGCGGCTCCCCCAGCTGGCAACGGTGGCTCTCAAAGGCAGGAGGTAGGATGATGAACCCCCTGTTAATGGCACTGGCATTCGGCTCCGGCTCGAGGACGCCGCAGTAGCTGCAGCCCTGTTCCCGCAGCGGGACGGGGAAGTCGCTGGGGCCGGCACGGCGGGATGGTGGGGAGCCGGGCGGCGGGGATATCCCCTCCTCGTCCTTCATCTCCTTCCCCAGCCAGTCCCCTGCAGAGACAGGAACGTGCTGGGGAGAGAACCCCCTTACTGGGAATCCCACAGGAATAAACCCTCCAGTTCAGCAGGATTCAGCCCATCACCCGGTCCCCCATGTCCCCCTCACCCTGGGAGGGTCCGGCAGGCACCGTGCGCGGCCGGTGGCTCCGGTGCTCCCCGTAGCACCCTGCCACCGCCTCCTCCTCCTCCCCTCGCTCCACCTCGGCCAGGATGTCAGGTTTGGTGACGGCGTAACCTGTCACAGAGTCAAGAGGGACAACCGGCGATGCCACTGGTGATGCCGCCACACAGCACCGTGGTGGAGGGTCACGACAGGCCTGCCTTGGCGTTCCCCCGCCGTGACGGGGACAGACGGCCGGCGTGGTCCCGCGGTGACCCCGGGCCCCGCGGCCGCCTGCTCCCGCCACCCACCCGGGCCGACGTCGATGCCGACGTGCCGCCAGCCTCGCTTGCGGCCAGGCCGTAACCGGCAGTGCCAGGGCTGGTGCCGGGCAGGACCGCCGTGCCTCACCCAGGGTGACGGGGTGCTCCCGGTCCTCCTTCATGGCACCGGCACCCTCCCGGTCCTCGGGGAGACGCGGCAGCTGCTCCCGGTGCTGCTCACCGGCGAGGCCTCACCTGCGGGAGGGACGGGAGGTGGTCGAACCATGCGCCGCACCGGGATGACGGCGCACGGTCCGGCGGAGACCCCGCGGGGCGGGCAGGGAGAACCGGGCGTCGGCGGTGCCGGTGGGGCCGCCAGTGGAAGGAGGGTGGCCGGGGCCGCCGAAACCCGGTGGGCCGCGGTACCGGTGCCGTACCTGGGCCGGGCCCTGTCCCCCTCCCGTCCGGTGGGGCCCGGTCGGGCCCGGTGCAACCGCGACA